ATTTTTGTGTCGCATGATATGTTGAATGCAGCACTGGTTCAAATTAGATGTTTGTGAAGTCAAAATAGTAAGTCTATAGTTTTGTGTGAATTAGAAACCCAAATTACCAATATCGACAAGCTAGAATATAAAATAAAAAGTCTTATCTTTTCTGTTTGCTGAGATATTGCTCATGTACTGAATGAAATGCAGTGGGCCCCGCTCACCTCTATCCAGTTTTGGAAATGCTCTCTTATATACACTTACTTCTATATATGGCATGAATAACCAATTGGAAACTCATAATGTCCTCCTTGTGGCTTTCTCAGCCATATTGAAGCATTAGGATGCCATCTTGTTCTTTCAAACCAAGATTTCAAGGAGGTAGAGTGTCTTTGGTCTGTTCAAAATTTCATATTTTTTTAGACCGAACTTTAGCTTAGCTACTAAGCTTGATAAATTATAGTGGAAATCTGTGGTATCAATATAATAATTTATGATTGTTTGGTTATCAAATGTATATATAAAACCTAAAAAAAAATTATTTCATTTCACATCCTCCATGTGCAAAATTTTTAAAGGCTTAGCAACCTACATCAAGCAGCAATAGTGTACAAAGGTTATAACTAGAAGAGATAATTATTTGCTTTACTTCTTTAGTTACAGTTCTGTGTTTTAGGAAAGATATGTTTATGAACTTGTTTCAAAAGAGCAATAATCTTTGTACATATATAATGTATAATAATTCAAATGTGACTGTATTTTACAAAATACTAGTTTACTAAAACACAACCAAGACAAGTTACTTTGCACAGATCAAAGGTCACCTTTATGTTATTTGATAGGGTAACATGAGTGCACGTGAGCCTCGTTGTTGTAACTTCTGTATTGTTAGCTAGGCATGGGTGAAAGGTGAATATACTAAAAATAATAAATGTATAATGTATGACATTTAAGGTATTTCATCTAAACATTTATGTTTTTGTGTTATAATTTGTGTTCATTATAGAATGAAAGAGGCATAATTTATATTTCCTAATTTTTATGGTGGTTATGAGATCAGTCAAATCTACCGAACCCATACAGAGATTCATTACTGAATATAACAGATAAAATATAGTTTTTTCCTTAGGAAACGTTTGATAACTATCTGGACGTTATAAACATTTCGCATGTGAAATTTGTAAATTTTTCTGAGACATAAAAGTATTTTTAATCTTAAAATGAAAATTACTTTCCATGATAGATAGACAAGATGTGAAAGAAAAAAAAGGCATGAGAAAAACATTGTTTTACAAACCTTAAGACTTAATAAAAAAAATTATATTTTGCGTATGAAAGCATTGTAATGTTTACTGATAAACTGCCAAATGTTGTTAACATTTGCTTAATAATTTAAAAGTTATAGCATGAAATCTATAACAAGCACAAAATTGGTTACGAGGTCGGTCCCATGGAGGTCGTTACTGAGAGTTAATAAGCAAATATACCTGTCTAAAATTTTAACCAAAGGTTGCTTATTAGCATGTTCTACCTTTAAAAAAAGTTGTGGAATTTTCACATACTTGGTAGTTTTTCTGTGATGTTTTAAAATGGATAGTAACAAACTAGTACTACAGGGTTAAGAGCAGTCATAATTGCCAGGTTTTGCATATACTAAACTTTTTCAAAATACTTGATTGCATTGGACTGGAAATTACTACTTTAGAGATAAATACTGGTAAGTGTACCATAAAGTATGAAATTCTTGTAGTGTGTTTATAAACCTACCCAATCCATAGTATGGTGAGTTGCAAAAAATTGTGTATTTTGTGTGTGCTGGAAATGTTTATTTTGATAGATGAAACAATTGAAAACTCCCATATTCAATATGAAAAGTTGTCCATATATTACTAACTAGTGTATATAATACTAACTAATTTCAGTAAGTGTTATTTGTTAAGAATAATTTATGAGAACAAGATATCTTGATGTTAGGCCATTCAGTAGATATAAACATTTGCAATAAAGATGACAAACAACTTTGAACAAAAATGAAAGAAACATTTATCTGAAGTTATTTGTCATTTTTATTGAAAATGGTTTCCATCTTTCAGTTAGCACTGAAAACTTTAAAAAATAATAACAAAATAGATATAGAACAGACCAAACTGAACAAGAACTATTAAAGGAGTATCATTATATGTTGATAAAAGTTGTAAAGTAAAAACAAAACCAGGGATTAGAATTTTTATGTACTGTTGAAAATGTTTTTATATCACTGATGATTGTATAAAAATGTATGTAGACTAAGAGATGCACCTTTAGAAAACTTCACACAGAGTATATTGAGTAAGAACTATAATTTCTGATAGTATATTTCTATTTATATTAAACATGCTACAATCATAAGCTTGGTTATCTTCCTGGTTACTTATGGGTAGTTTTTCGTACTCCTAAGAATTACTTCCTTACGACTGCTTATCTGATCACTTTTTGAATTTATGAATCAAATACTCGCATATGGAGGAAAGGATCCTATAAATAAGTTATTTGGATCCACTAACTTGTGTGTGATACTATAAATTTTGCAGTGAATGTAGTAATATTTTTTAAAAGTAGCCAAGACAGCAAGTCTGATTACATAGTTTAATTGTTAAGTTTTAACTTAAGTGAGAAATACTTAAAGCTTAGTTTATTGTTTTTCAAAAAAATGAGAGTGGTGCGAGTTAAAATTAGTAGGCCTTTTGTAATATTTCTTTCAGATAAATTTTGTACACAGTGGATATTGTGGTGGGAAATAAATTTTTGTTTCTTACAAAATCACATAAGTTGGGTCTTCTTTGAATAATAGTGGCAGTTAATAATTTAACATATTTTCTTGTTATAAGAACCGAAAAGCTTTGTTTGTATCTAAAGCATTAGACTAAACTTCCAATATAACAAGAGGCTTTTCAATTCCATATCAGTCATTATTGTGTATGATTGTCCAATACTGTACATACAGTACCACGTGAAACCATCTATCCCAAAATGCAGACCAAGAAAGTGTGGAACATGCAAGAGACTACATTTGGATTAGTACATCATAGGGATGACATACAGTTCAAATCCCAACAACTCTGTTTGCTTATTGTGATAAGAGCTTGTAGCTAATAATTGCTAGTTAGTTTCTATTTTATCTACAGAGCTTCTACTACAGTAATAATTAAGGATGTTCAATAATCCACCACTTATGATAACTAAAACTGGCTAAGGAAAGAACTAAAAACATGTGGACATTTGACTAGAAATATACACGATTGAAATTGTTATACTGATGTGATTTTTTAGGGGGAAATTCTCTATGTGAACATGCATTTTAACCTTTTTGGTTGATAGTTCTCGTGTTCTTGTTGTCAGTATACACTTTCCTTGAGTTGAACTATTATGCTAAATATAATTGTACTGTTTACAAAAAAACTGACAAAGAAGCTTCAACGTCATTGAGCTCTTGAATTTGATTGCTATATATGAATCAATTTTCAAATTTTTGCATTGGTGAATTTTATTTTCTCAACCTTTTTCTAATTTCTTTGGAAAGACCAAGATTGTTTTGTTGTTTACTGTGACCTAAGTTCAGGCCTTAAAAGTTCTAACGATGCTTATAAAGTCAGAAGACTAATTTTGACTGTATTCCATTACATTTTTACACACACTAAACTTTTTAGTTTTCTTACTTAATCCTTACTTTGATACATTTTAATATTTTCTAAAATACATTAATGTATCTATGTTTTCCTTAATTTTTGTACCACATTGGGTATCTTCATTAGGTAGCACATGATTTTGAAGATGGATAAAACATTATCCAAATGGTGTATATGAGCAGAGCATTATGTTGGAAATAGTCAAATATTTGTAATGTTTGAATTGTTTTCATAAACATTTCACAGGTTTTGGAATTATGCAAATTACTAAATAATATATTTTGGGGTGATTTTATTTTCTAATAAAGTTTTGGTTTGATTAAGATGGTTTTCTTAAAATACCTAAATCAAATGATATCCAATGAGTGATTTTAGAAGTAGGCTTTTTATAGTATTTATTGGTAAATATCTACAACAAAATACATAATTATTTTAGTGAATCATCCATTTCGTAGAGGAAATAAAATTAAGTAATGCAGATAACACGTACGTGGTACATGCATTCTGATCTGACCCTTGTGCAAATTTTTACTGTCTTTCTGCACATACAAAAAAAATTGACTTTTTGAATTTATACTAATGTAGCTGTGGTTTATTTCTTAATTTTAGACTTTGATTGAAGCTAATGTGGATATAAAGACAACTGATGGTTATCTTCTTCGAGTATTCTGTATTGGCTTTACCAGGAAGTGGCCCAACCAAGTGAAGAAAACCTGTTATGCTCAACATACCCAGGTTGTATAAGCTTAAATACTCATCTTAATGTGCTTATTACCACAAATATTAAGAACTACCTATGTACTTTTTTCTAAAAGTTGGATGGTAATTTCCTTCTGTTTTACAATATTTTAAGCACAGTAAAACAAACTTCTAGGACAGTTTTTTATATGAGTTTCACAAAAAATGTTGCAACCAAAATTTGCAAATACTAAACCAATTTTTTTTTTCTCAAACACAAACTATACATTATGTAAAAAGTACATAATTTCATGGAATTTTATGAAACATTTTAAGTGTGTGAGTGAAAAGATTGTTATCAGCGACAAAGCCAGTCCCAAAATGGTTGAGCAGTTTTGATAGCACTGGAAAAGACCGTGCTGTGAAACCTGATTTTAACATTTTTTCAGTCACCTACCAGAATTTAAATTTTTTGTGGTATATTTAATTAGTACATTAGCTTTGTATTTAATTGAATTTTTTCTTCTCTCATTTAAATTTTATGAATATACAATAGGTTCGAGAAATCAGGAAAAAGATGGTGGAGATAATGACTAGAGAAGTTTCTTCCAGTGACTTGAAAGAAGTTGTGAATAAATTGTGAGTTCTTCTTGAGTTTTATAAGCTTTTAATTAATGTGAATGCATTGAAACTTTCCCTTATAACTTTACTACTAGTATTTATGATTTTAGTGTCATTTCAAAAATCCAGCATGTGAAATTTCACATTGTTGTCTATTCCAAGATGAGTAAGTATCAGTTGTTCTTGATGTTTCAACAATAGTCGAAAACAATATTTCCTCACTCCTTTACTGTTTCCAAGCGTCAATTTTTCATAATACTTACATATAGACATGTGTCTTATTACAAAATGCCTGTATAGTTCAGTATCCAACAATAAGTAGGATATAAACAAAACTAAAACTTAACATTAGCCCTATCACTATTAGTAAAGGGGGTCAGAGGGCATTTCATCACGTTTGTAGACTTGCATTCAAACAGGGAACTACTATTTAATGAATGTGTGCCAGTAAATTTGGAATCAAATTGTAGTTTATAATTAAAATTTTAGTATTATACATTATTTAATTTCTTAATTTAAAAGTAAATATAAGAATAAAATTACTAAATATCAATTTTTCTGTGTTACATAGTACATTGTTTCAGAAAGGTTTTTGTTCAGATTACATTTTATGACAACCACAATACAAGATCTATAGTTTCTTACAAATTAGAAACTCAAATTACCAGTATTGACAAGCTAGAATATAGAATATAACCTTTTCTATTTGCTGAGATATTATATTTAGTGAATCCATCATATTGGCTCTGCCTACATCTTCCTCTTTTAGAAATTCATATGTATCAACACCCACTTCTCTCATATACATGTTTATAACAAATTAGAAGCACCCATTTTCAGCTATAAAATTTCTACCAGTCTATAAAGGATTTATGTAAGAAATGTCATCTTTCCTTTTTAATATCAGAGTAGAGGTGAGACAAAGTGGTGATCAGATCTTTCAGCCCCAAATAAAGCTTGGTAAATTACAGTGGAATTCAGTGTATTTAAATAGTAATTTATCATTTTTGTTATTACAAAATGTATATAAAAAAATTGACAAAAATTGTTTTACATCCTCCACTTGGTTCTTATTTTCTTATGGTGGTTATGACATCAGTTAAGTTGTCCAATCCTGTATAGAAATAATGTACAGAAAATATCTGATAAGATATAGATTTTGGCCAAAAAAATAATGTTTGATAGTTTTTATAGAGGTTATTAGGAGGCTATAGAGATTATTCAAGTGAAATTTGACAATTTTCAGATGAGAAGAAAAGTATTTTCAATCTAAAAATCAAAAATTACTTGGCCTGTTGTATAGTCAACATTACAAAATTCAAGAGCAAGTCTTTAATTAAAATATCTGGTATTTTGTGTAAGAAAGCCTTGTAACAGTTACTGATAATCTGCAAAATGTCATGAAGATACTTTTACATCATCAAATGTTATAGTATAACTGCTCTTGTGGTTATTTTGGTGAGGGTGCAATGCACCCAACCCATAGTCATAGAGTTAATCACATGATTAACAGGTGCCTGTAGAACACATCCAATAATGTGCAATTTTCATGTGATTGATTTAGCATTTTTATTACTTAAATACACAACTGTTTTTGAATGGATATAATAGTTAATAACTTTGAGTTTAAAAGACTGACTTAGGGTATTATGATTTGTGGGTTTGTTAGACAACATCCAGTCAAAAGAATTAACTACATATCTTGTATATTTCAAACCGTGGTGTCTGTCTGAGCATTCATCTTTCTTACGTTTGAAAAGCTCACCATACATTTTTGAAATGACAGGAGAACAGGTATGAATAATGTTGATGTCAAATTTTACTTTTCATGGTAGGTGGTATAAGTAGCTCGGAGCTTTGGCTCTGAGTGAAACCAAGATTGCAACACAACTAACTTTTTTAAAGTCCATGGAATAGTTTAAATTGATATATTAAGTTAAACTTTTCCCATCACTGGGGATGGGTACTTTTGCTTGTAAACTATGAATCAGTATGAAAATGAGTGCCAGTATGAAAAGTATTCTGTGGTGAACTTCAGAGCCGAGAAATCGATGTGTAAAATTGTGTTCAATGAAATTAAATTGTTTAATACATTATTTAAGACCTAAAGATATCAAATAATGCAAAATATTATAAACGTTTTATAATGAACTTCCTTTCATGACAGTACTTAATGGAATCTATGGTACAATTCAAAATTTTGAATAAACAAGAATTATGCCTGATACTTATCATACTTGTTATTGTTATCATAAACTTCCATATTTTCTGGAGTTGTTTATCAAGATAATTTGTTTCTGCTGCAACATGAAAATGTTCATAGGTCTGAAAATTCCTTGTGAAGTCTGTTGCTTATCGTGGGTTTGGTCGTGCTTAACATTAACATCCAGATTTTTTCTGCCTTGCCTATTCACGACCCTGTTTGTATAACTACTTCTTTTATTTTAGACATTTATATTTTTATTGTTTAAGAAAAACTTAAGGTTTTCAAATTATCTAAAATTTTAATTTTTGCTTAATTAATAGTAATTGTCTTAAACGATGGGGCAAGTTATTTTCTTGTTTCTGAAGTGTAATTTCACAGATAGTTACTGACAGGGCATTGACATTGCAACTTCAGTTGTATATTTTAAGTTGAATCCTTTGTTGAAATAACAAATAGATGCTGAAAAGGTTTTTAAATAGTATAAACTTAGTAAATTCATAAATTATTTTGTCAAGAAAATGCTTAATTTTAGGGAAAAAATTTGGCAATGAGGAATGATCTTGTTTATGATAACATAGTGTTAAGAACTTTTATCAGTACATGTTATTTCACTACTTGTGTTAGTACTTTGGTTCATCACTAAGGCATGATATAGTCAAAGTTGACCAGAAATAAGTTAATTTTGCATGTTAGAATCTCTTCCCCCCCCCCCCTTTTTTTTTGTTATTTTCAATCAGCATATTTCTTGTGATTTTAATTTTGTCTTGTTTGTGAAAATTATATAGGATCCCAGACAGTGTTGGAAAAGATATTGAAAAGGCTTGTCAAGGAATTTATCCATTGCATGATGTTATGATCAGAAAAGTAAAGGTGCTTAAGAAACCCAAGTTTGAATGTAAGTGAATTCCTTAAGTAACTCAAATTTTGTAGTTTTGAATTTCTTGTTTCAGTATTTTTGTAGCATTAAAACTTTCTATATTACTGTAACTAGCTAAGTTATGTATATATTGGTCCCTATTTGTCTTTGCAAAATTTAAAATTATTTTTTATACATTGTTTTATTTTTCTTAATTATATTTTGTTTGTCAAAAGTAGTGCATTGCCCATTTCATATATATATATATATATATATATAAATAAATAAATGTGCACACACATACACACATTACTATCGTTTTTGGTACAAGAAAGGAATAATGGGGACTCCAGACATAAGAGGACTGTGAAAGAAGGAGAGTGATAAGGTTTTGTTTTTTGTGAACGTTTGTCTGGAAAATTCACTTACTCAGATGAAACTTTGTCAATTACTGAAATTTTGATTCACTCCATAAACACACAGTGATTTGGATGTCTTTACAAGTACAGTAATCTTTAGTTTTGTTCAGCCAATACCATGAAACAGTAGTTGTTAATATTCAGATGTTTAAAAGGTGATTTTAAATGGGCAGTTTTTATGGCAGCAATTTTATTTCATGATGATCCCTACTATATAATATATTCAATTTAAAAAGTTTCAACTCTTCCTGTGATTAGATCAGACAGAGATTATAAGAATTTGATTTTTTCCGAGACATTGTTGAAAAACTTAAAGAATTGACAGTATCACTTCACATAGAGCCCTCCAGTGGCTCAGTGGTAAGTCTGGAAACTTGTAACACTAAAAACCATGTTTCAGCACTCATGGTTGGAACAGCATAGATAGCCCATTGTGTAGCTTTGTTGTGAACAACAAATGAAACAAAACTTCATACTGAATGCATACAAAATTATGTTGAAATTTAATCTAGGAAATTATATATATCCCTAAAATTAAACTACATAGTTATGGAGAACTCTTTGTAAGCAAAAACACCCTTACCCTAATGCTACCATTGATGACAAGCTGAAAATTTCAAACTGACCATCATCTAGGGGAGTTTATGTGAACTAAACATAGTTTTCTATGGATATTTCTTGGTTCGTCTTTTTAAAAATGTATCATTTAAAGTGATATGCCATTTTAAAATCAAATCATGTAAGTAGACAACCTTGTAGCGTTGACTAATTATTTTGCTTTTATCATAATATGAATTTATAATTGGATATTTATGGAGAAAATTCTTTAAAAGTTTCTTAATAAAATCAAAACCAATTACTTTTTAGATATAATGCAAAGTGCTTTGGACAAAAACATAGTTGTTCATCATCTCACTGTGGAAAAAAATGTTTGTAGAATGCTCTGCCTTATTAGTTAAAACAACCTTGTATAAAAGGAAAGACTTAAAATTTGGTTTAACACTTCATAATGTGAAATTCTCTATTTAAGTAACTTGTAATGAATTTTTCTATAAAAAGAGTGTAAAGAAATACAAATTTTGAAGATTAAAATAATCTGTAAAAGTTTTAACAATCAAGTTTTTTATAGGGTAGAGAAGTCTTTGAAAAACATAGAATTGTACTAATTTACTGATTAACATATGAATAATATGGAATGTTTGGCATTGTTCATTTGGTAAGGATAGTGTTTGATATTGTTCAGTTGGTAAGGAAAGCGTTCCTTTGTTGATAAAACAGGTTTTGATAACACTACCTTGCCTGCATTGTGGTATATTTATGTGAATACACACGACTAGTACATAATACAAAAAGCACTCTTTAATCACATCACATATGATATATGTGCAGTAATCAAATAAATAAATAATTTACACACACACACACACACACTCTTTCTCACTCACTTCGAAAGCCTACTGCAGATTTTTTTTCATTTTGCTAGTTGTACTGCCTGCACCTCCAGGTTAGCATTTATGTAAAATCACTCCCAGGGATTTCTTCTTGACAGAATAATGCACTTTACCTCTGCTCATAAATATACTGAGTCCTTTGTACTGGGAGTTTTTGGTTTGATGTCACTTCCAGAGTAGAAATATGAGCTTGATTCAAATGTTATTGAATTATGATGAAATCAACACATTCACCTTATTAAAAAACAGGATCACAAACCCCTGTTGAGTATACAGCCTGTAAATTATAACAGTGAAACTCATGTTGAATTACATTGTCCTCCCTGCCCAGTGTAATTTGATCTTTTGTTTAATAATATGGGAAATAAATAGTTAATCAGTTATAATAAACTTAGATAACTGTACATAGCTTAATATACTACCTACAACATTTTCGTGTTAATGATTGTGATCTGTGTAGATAACTTGCTTTAATCAGAAGCTATTGTACATTGACGAACCTTTCTATATTTTATTTGTTTAAAAATCATGTACTAGTCAAGATTATAACATTCCCATGTGAAAACTATGAAACTATAATAGTTGTAATTATATTGAGTTTTTATCGACCTATATCCCATTTGTATGTGTCTGTTATCCTGTTCAAAGAGCCTTCATCAGATCTGCAAACTTGACAGAAGGTGATACACCTATTTTATGTAGTTTAAGTGAGTAAGAAATTTTTCATACCAAAAAAAGGGTGTGAAAGTAAGCGGCATGGAATGTAAAATATTGATGACAAGTACAAAACCCTCTATACCGAACACTTTTGAAAGACAGGCCTTCCTTCATCAAAGCAAATAATTTCTTCCTGATAAAGAAAGGTTCCCCTTTTGAAAGTTTTTGGGATATAGAGTTTTATATTTATCACTAATCACTATTTGAATGTATATGTTTTCCTAAAATTATGAATATAAACTGTAGTCTTATGTAATATCACACACATATTAGTAATAAATAAGAGAGCTACTTTGTGTGCTTGAGGTGTTGCTCATAACACTGTGAACCACATCTAACTTAGTATAAGTTGACTTAAACATCTCTACAGAAAATAGCAAATTGCTGCAATTTAATGGATTTGAATATGTAATTTGTTAGTTAATGCCAACTTATTTATTGATGTAACAACTATATTTGCTTATATAACTTATAAACTCCTTATTCCTTACATTTACACCTTAACTTGAAGGTCCTAGAAAGTTGTTCATTAATTTGTTGTGGAATTTATTTTCACTAAGCTATACTAGTCCTGTATGTAAAATTTGACAATTGTGGCAATGGTTATGAAATAGAAAAAGTTAAAATATTGTAAGCTAAGTTATTGAAACTGGGTGAAAAGAAAGTTGGATTCTTTTTGTTTTAAAGAAACTTTCTGTCAGAAAGTTGAATTCTCAAAACAAACAAAATAGGCTTAAATTTCTTTACAAGAAGTATGAAGATGTGAATTTACTGAAGTAGGGCTATTGAAAAACTATTAGTTTGAACGAACGACCTAAAAATTTTAGTTTCATCCCAAATAAAATTGAAGGTCAATGTGATAAAGAACAATGTTCATTTAAGTGGAAAACTTGTTCCAACATGGAGCAGAATATGAAATTCGTTGGAAAAACCCGCTTGTCGTGATCTGCACAATTTTTGAAAAAGGAAAATAATAAATTTTAGACTTTTGCAGATGGTTGAAGAAATATGCTATTTTTGGTGTGATGATGACTATTTCATTTACCATATACTACTTCTAGCTGCTACTGCTACTTTTAAATACTTCTTGGTGAGAAACCCCCAAGCCACAATATAACATTCCACCAATTAACGCCTTCCACAAGCTAGATACCACCACCTGCTTACCCATACCTATAAATATCCACCAACAGTAATCACAATCCACACAACATTCAGCCTTGATAATGGATGCAGAATGCATTCGAAACGCGTCGGCCAACTCATCACTAGCTACAACTTTTACTCGTTGTTCTAACAACATTAAGACGGCTTATCGACTTCTTGGGAAGAATTCTAAGAAGAAAGTAAACCTACAGATATCGGTCTTGTTTAACAAAATCTGCATATACTACTTGTAAACATGACTCTTGTATTGGTTTTATAGACCTAAAATTTATAAAACTAATTTTAGTAATAGGAAAATGTCTAAATACACCATTCAAATTTCTAGGGGCTTTTATAGTTCTTTTGAACCAATATTTCAAGGAGGTAGGGTGTCTTTAGTCTGCTCGAAATTTCATATTTTATAGACTAAAATACATCTTGGTTAGTAAGCTTGATAGACTATAGTGAAATTTTATGGTATTAATGTAGTAATTTATGATTTTTTAGTTATTCAAATGTATATATAAAAAATAAAAAAAAATGTTTCATATCCTCCATGTGCAAAATTTTTAAAGGCTTAGCAACCTACTTCAAGCAGCAACCAAGTACAAAGGTTGTAACTAGAAGAGATAATTATTTGCTTTACTTCTTTATTTACTGTTCTATGTTTTAGGAAAAATATATTTAACAACTTATTTTAAAATAGCAATAATATATATATATACATATATAACGTATAATAATTGAAATGTGACTGTATTTTACAAAATACTAGTCTAATAAAACATAGCCCAGATGAGTTACTTTGTACAGACCAAAGGTCAGTTTTATGTTATTGAATACAGTAACATGAGTGCACGTGTGCCGCATCATTGTAACTTCTGTATTGTTAGCCAGGCACGGCTGAAAGGTCAATATAATAAAAATGTATAATGTTATGAGATTTAAGCTATTTAGAATGAAAGAGACATAATTTATATTTACTTCCTTTTTATTTTTTATTTTTTTTATGGTGGTTACAAGATCAATCAAATCTACCAAACCTGTACAGAGATTCATTACTGAAAATAACAGATAGAATATAAAGTTTTTTTCCTTAAGAAACATTTGATAACTATCTGGACGGTATAAAGATTTCGTATGTGAAATTTGAAAAATGTCTGATGCATAAAAGTATTTTTAATCTTAAAATGAAAATTACTTTGCATGTTTGATAGGCAACATGCAAAAAGAAATAAAAGGCCTGAGAAAAACATTTCTTTTCAAACCTTAAGACTTAATAAAAAATATATATTTTTGTATGAAAGCATTTTAATGTTTACTGATAATGTGCTAAATTGTGTTATAATTTGCTTACTAATTTAAAAGTTATAGCATGAAAACTGTAACAAGCACAAAATGGTTAAAGGTTGGTCCTAGGGACCGAGCCCATGCTGAAAGTGTTAAGATGGTGCCATCTTTTGCCTCTATTGGAACATGATGTTTTCCCAGTTGCTTCCTTGATCTATTTATAGACATATTTTATATTTGCATTCCATTTTGACATTGTTGATTCAGCCATATTTCTTTTGCATCTTTGCATTCCATTTTGACCTGCTTATCTGATCTTTTGGTATTGTTTTGATAGTCTTCTAGTTTATATGAGGTCTAAAATGTCTTGTCATCCATATATTTTTACTGTTTGTTTTTCTTGTTTTAGGGTAATTTATTCTGTTGTTTCTGTAACATGTTTTCAGTTGTTCCCACAGAGTCGTATCTGCTAGAGAGCTGAACTTGTTCTATATAGTGATCACATATTCTGTTGTTTCTGTAACAGATGTTTTCAGTTGTTCCCACAGAGAGAGTTATATCTGCTAGAGAACTGAACTTGTTCTATATAGTGATCACATTCTTTTGTTTATGTAACAGATGTTTTCAGTTGTTCCCACAGAGAGTTATATCTGCTAGAGAATATATAGTGATCACATATTCTGTTGTTTATGTAACAGATGTTTTCAGTTGTTCCACAGAGAGTTGCATCTGTTATATCTGCTAGAGCTGAACTTGTTCTATATAGTGTGATCACATATTCTGTTATTTCTGTAACAGATGTTTTCAGTTGTTCCCACAGAGAGAGTTATATCTGCTAGAGAGCTGAACTTGTTCTATATAGTGATCACATATTTTTCTTTCATCTTGGGATCTGATTTAAATAAATGAATTTGGTTTTTTGGTTTCTGCTCTGACTTCAAAACGTTCTTCTTCTTAATCTTCATTTACAAATCACACGAACGTGGCCACTTCCACAATTTGCTTTTTGGACTGTTTTAGCATATTTAATAGTATTTCTAAGTCATTTATTGATCCAAATAAAGTCAGTTTCTTGAGCTGTCTCTCAGACCTTTCCATAATGGTCATCGTTGGTGATTTTGAAACCAGGTTTTTCCAGTCATTCAATTATGACTTCTGCACCATTCAAAGAGTTTGTCCCTTCTGTCTTTCTTTGGGGGGGGGGGGTTAAAAGCAAAAGTTTTTATAATTAAACGTTAATGAAAAATTGAAGTTTGTTTGAAATTTTCTGGCAAGCACATTTTTGCTGTCTGTGGTTGATATTGAACTCAGCATAGGAGTTGCAAATTATAATAGACAACAAATACATTAACACCATTCACCTGTCTTCACAGTTAGACAAACCAGCTCTCCTTTAGTTGTGATACTGATAATACAAGATTGGAATAGTTCATGTTGTAAATCTTTAAGCAAACCTGAGATACAAAGTTTATAGGTTTGTATTACAATTAACTTCAAAAAGTAATGCTGAAGCCATAATAAGTTGAACTGAAAATACTACATGCTTGAAGAAATACATAAAACTTGCAAAGAAAACTTCATGATGTTTACGTATTTTCATTGTTTTTTATGGTTTGTTTTCAAATTAACTATGCAATTATGATTAATTTTATGTGCATTTTGTTGAACAATACATGTACTATGAGAATAAGTTAAGTTTTTTGAATTTGTAGTTTATAAAGATAATGGAAAACGTAACATTATCAGCTATATTTATTTAATACTGTGTTAATGTAGCTGAGCATGTTAATATTCCTTTATATTGTGTTATGAGAAACAAGTTATTGTGGTGGATCATGCTTAATGACTTTTACCTAAACACAAAGTTAGTATTTATTTTATTCTAATCATTAAATTTATTTTATATAAAATTATAATTTGTGTGTATACATGGAAAATATTTATGAAAATAAACGTGTTTCATTATTAATTATGACACTTTCAACAAGTTGCAATTGACCTAGTAGGCAGATTAACACAATTATCACTATTCTCTACTGACACTCTTTGAGATTTGTGCTTGTATTAGGGTTTATTGTGGACCTTATCAACATTAACCAGAGGTTTTAATATAGAATTTGGTATATTTATTGCAGTGGGTAAACTCTTAGAAATTCATGGTGAAGGTGCCGGAAAACCTACAACTACCACCACCACAGAAGAAGGAACTGTTATAGAGAGACCAGAAGGTTATGAGCCACCTATTCAGGAGGCTGTTTAAAATGCTGGAACTTGTGAATAACATTTCAAAATAAAGAATCGTATAAGGACAATGTTTTTTGTTTCAATGTATTTTTGCTATATTACACTACATACAATTTTGATATTCCGCAGTTATTCCAAATTTTACATTTACGTGCTCCTTGTATTTCGGGCAAGATGATGTAATTCTCTCAAACATTTGAGGACCTATCAATGAAGTTTTCGTGGTCTTAATTCTTGGTCTCAGAATAAAACTATCATAGTTTAACAAAATTGACCACCATGCACAACTTACACTTTCAATTTTGTTTTGTTTCGTGTTTATGTGTGTGTGTCTTAACCCAGTATTTATTTATGGCTAAAACCTTGCTTGAAATAATTTTGAGACTAAAATAAATGGCTGTATTTTTTTTTTTTTAAAGTACATCAGTTTATCCAGTTTCACACACAAATCTGTGGTGGTTACAGCATATATGAATTCTGGATTTAGCTAAGATTATTTAATTAGATCATCTGATTTGATTTTCCTTCAAGTCCTAGCTATTGACTTGGAAACCTTGTATCACACTTTTGTACTTTGTAATTCATAGCTAGTTCTAAAGCTTAAGGTACACTGACTTTTAGACTCGTTGCTCCTGTTCCTTATAATACATAATACCAATAAGCATAAAATTTTAAATCATTTTTTAATGTGTATATTAACTATTTTCTGGGCGGCATTTTAACATAACTTTGAAAATAAAACATACCAATAACGTTTAAAATGGTGTAAAAATAGTACAGATTATTTTCGAAATTTCATGGAAATATGTTTTGCCTGTCGCTCAACGGTAAGTGTGAGGTTTCGTACCGCTAAAAACCTGGGCACAGCACAGATAACCTATTGTGTAGTTTTGCGCTTAACAACAAAGAAAAAGTAGTTCTTCAACTTGTGACGTCAATACTAGACGGACAACAGCTTTGTTGTGTGTGTATATATATATATATATATATATATATACACACGCACAGATCGAATGAGAATTTCCCATCGATCGATGCAAATCCGCTTTGAAAAATCAATATTGGGGTTAGAAGTCCCAGTAGTAAACACTGGAAGGCTGATCAATGAGCAAAGTATTTCTAAATTAGGCTCTGCTCTGCTTAATAGATCTGCGCCATATTAGAACTGTCACGTGTGTTGTGGCACTCGTTTCTAGATGAAAGTCGATGACGAAAATGCACAAGTTGAGAAATCTTTACAGAAGTTGCAAAGAAAAATTCTGCTGGTTGTTCGACAATGTAGTGACGCTTCAACTCGAAAAGCCCTCCCAGTGGCACAGCGGTATGTCTGCGGACTTAACAACGCTAGAAACCGGATTTCGAAATCTGTGGTGGGCAGAGCACAGATATCTGGTTGGGTAGCTTTGTGTTTAACTTCAAACAACAAAACAATGAACTTGAAAATGATATTGATAAATGTGGGATAGAAATATTTTTTTTTCTCGACATAATGTCCTGTAGTGGAAAATTAGCTGTTTTTTACTGTTATTAATGCATAAATATAGGAGATGCAGAATTTATGTTACGTGAAGTTATATTAAGAATGCACTAGATTTTGTTATGAAAAAAATGTCTATCCTCTGATTGTGAGCTGCGCTGTCCGTTAATCTCCAGATGTTTTCAGCCTGACCTATTTTCATCGCTGATATATGCTTTAAACAGTTACTCTTTGTGCAGTGTTTGTTTGTTTTTACCGTAAATTTATTCTAACTTCAATCCTGTGTTTCATTTATTTTACCTGAACGATACATTAAGGCTATATATTATCATTCTAAACTTTTATACCTAATATTTTAAATGGCGAACTCGGGTCGCTCGCTCCCTTTATCCCTCGGGGAAGAGATGCATAAAAAGTATTGTTTGTCCAGGTGACACTTTGTTCCTCTCCGCTGGCTTGTGAAAAATGTTTCCGGAGAAACTGGTTTAATTACAACCAAGCTTACAATCAGGAAATGATCAGTTTCAGCATGGGTTTATACGTGTTAAGTTTCAACGAGGGAAATCATTTCAGTCAACCTTTACTAAACTTTAAAAAGAAAACATTCACATGCAGAAACGATAGGAAAGTGTATTATTTAAACGTGATTTGTTACCTAACTACCATACGAAAATATATATGAATACACTTTAGAGATAAACATTAAAGTATCACAATCAGAAACTAATATAAGTGCTAAAATGTTTAGCGTTGTTTTTTGTTTTGTTTTTTCATATAAATACACTAACTTTTATTATGTAAATAATGCACGTACTTTAGTGAAAGATTGTGTTTAGTCGTTTTAAATATCTTTGATCCAACTGGACTCTACGTGTATTACATATGACAATATATTTTATCCTCAGTAAAAAATTATTCTGATTTTAAACACCGAAAGAAAAAATTTATCGCGTTAAATGACCTAAATAGTGAAATTCATTTAGGTTCGTTCACGTAGGTAGTCCATTTATCTGTTGTTGTTTTTTTTAATAGAAAAGCTTTCTAGTCTCCTAGAGAGATGACCCTGAATGGTCGGATAGGATAAATTATCTTATGTTACCTGATAGTATTCGTTGCTTCACCCCCCGCCCCCCCATCTAGCAAAGTTGCATCCTTAGTTACCAGTCTTTGCATGTTCTTCTTCTATCTGGCAACTTTTTTTGTAAAAAGGATGCTAGATGCAACCACACTTGAAACTGTCTCCTTTATCTCGCTCGTTTCTAACGTGATATGCTTATTTGTGGAAGACCCTTTGGCTTACTCGTGCAGATGGATATCCTTCCAATTCCATGTTCTCGTGGAGGTGCTAAATTGCTTATTATAGCCACCATTTGTGCTGGTTACTTTATTTGTTTTTGTAACTCTAAAAGCCCTCCCAGTGGCACAGCGGTATGTCTGCGGACTTACAACG